AATTAAAACTCATTATCATTAATTTATTATATTTATAAAATTTTATATACTTAATTTAATTTAAAATAAAAATAAATTATAATAATATATTTATAAATAATTTAATAAAATAATATTTTAATTAAAACTTTTAATTACTAAACTTATAAATTTAAATACTTTTTTATTTTTTCTGTGGAATAAAATTAACAAGAAAATCTGTAAGAAAAATTACTTGTAAATTTTTTTTATCATTTATTATAATACTAAATATTACCTGTAAATTTATTTTTGTATAAAATAAAAGAAAATTCTTACCACATTTTATATGAATTTTTACCATAATTTTTTTTCTATGAAAAAATTTTGTAAAAAATAATAATAATATTTTTTTAGTAGTAAGAGTGTACATTTCATACATTATTAAACCAATTGAATAAACTCCCTTGTAATTTAATTTTGACTTACTGTAACTCTGTAAAGTTTTTAACATAATAAAAATTTATAATATAATAATAATTGGAAAGGTCAAATTTTAATAATAAAATAAAACTAAATCTGAAAGGAAAAAAGAAAAATGAGCCATCCCTAGATAGAAACTGTACCCCAGCCTCAGCCTCGAGCATGAAAGAGAAACAAATTACAGCTAACATTTACCTACATCTGTGTGCACTCCTTCCACTCATTTGGATCCTCTACAGAAGAGATATCAGCCATTGAATTTATATCAGATGGTGATAAAATCCTTAAATATAAAAATATTTTTTTTACTTAGTTATAGACGGTGTTTACCTTGGTTGCAGGGGCTGCACCGCTGCAGAGAATCCGGACTCCTCCCACACTAGATTAAAAGTACCTAAAATAAAGCCTTCTTACATCTTTAATTAATTATAATAATACTAAGACGCAACCTTCTCCAATGACATATACCCATTTGATCATATTGCTAGAGGGTAAAACTCAAGATCAATTATACACAGGACATTGTGTAATAAGATTCATAGATATCTTATCCATTAAGTATGTATTTATAAATTTTAATATATAAAAAATATCTATAAAAAGATGTTAATATTTTAAATAAATTAATCTTTGTATTTCTTAAGAGATTAATTTTTTTTACTTTCTTCATCTTAGTTAGATTAATTATTGACTTTTTTGCTAAGGATATATGCAGTATATCCAAAAAGAAAGAAAAAAAGTTATACATATCAGCTATCTAAGAGGTCATGCTTGGTCCATGTTATTAATTAACCAAATAAAGCGCCAAAAGGTTAGAAATTTAACATGCAGAATATATACATGATTATCATTTACTATATGAGGTTATAATTGAGAGGGAATCGAAAAGAAAAGAGACTTAGTAGTTAGAGTTTAATTGACCATTAATAAAAAGAGGAAGCACTTAACTGTTAACTCTATTCTCACTGATACAGTACAAGTTTAAAGAGTCATTCCCTTGATAATTTATTTTATAATTTCCTAGAAATAGAGATATCTTAAAAACCAATCCATTCCAATGCAAAAGCAGCACCGGATTTGCGTAAAACCCACTTGATTGCTGCACCTTCCTCAGGGTTCTCTATCCTCCCCTTCTCTCTCTTAACTTCAATCCTAAGTATGATTTATGATTTAGCCTTCCTCTCTTTAAATCAACACAATTAGTTTTAGTTACTCCCTCTCCACCCTACAACATTTCTACCTCTTTAAACATTTAAATGACACAACACAAGCCCCGGGTAATATTTCACGCTATATAGAGGCAGTGACCACTTCATCACAGTTTACACTCTTCCTCCAATATTAAGTAACATTGCCATTCCCACTCCCCTCTCACAAATGGGTCGCCATTCCTGTTGTGTGAAGCAAAAATTGAGGAAAGGCTTATGGTCCCCTGAAGAAGATGAGAAGCTATTCAATTACATAACAAGATTCGGAGTTGGATGCTGGAGTTCTGTTCCCAAACTAGCTGGTATATAACAACTTACATGCTCATCTACTTCTCTTTTTTTCTCTTCCATTACATTCTTCAAACATGGGAATGAAAGAGCTTAACTCATTTCATGAATTGCAGGACTTCAAAGATGTGGGAAGAGTTGCAGGTTGAGATGGATAAACTACTTGAGGCCTGATTTAAAGAGAGGGATGTTCTCACAGCAAGAGGAGGATCTTATAATCAGTCTTCATGAAGTTCTTGGAAACAGGTAACATATATATTCAAGGATTATCACTCAATTCTCTTTCCC